CCCACACCCACACCCACACCCACCCATACCCACACCCACATCCACACCCTTATTTCTATCACTGTTGGGGCTACAGGATTTACACAAGTCCTACTTTGTCCATTGCCTTTCTTGAAATGTTGAATAAGCGACACTAAATTGAAATTCGCGTATTGCCTTCACTCTTTCTACATAGTCGAATTCTGCTAATTGATTTTAAAAATATTTCAATGAATGTATCTTGTTTACACTTCAACAAAAATCAAAATCATGCGCATTTACAGTTCAAGTATTTGATAACGCATTTTTGCAACGTTTAACGGGTTCTCTAGCAGTGCTCGAAACAACGTCATTATTTTTGTCTCGAGAAGTGAGTTGCCGTTTACAGTGAAGCCTTCATTTTCTCCTTCTCTCTTTTTCTCTTTTGTGCAACTCGAAATGTTTACAAACACACAATCTTTAACCCTCTCCACCCTTTAAAAAAGTCACTTTTCAGCCAGCATCACCAAAATTAAGATAAATGCAGTGAAAAATAGCCCATGATCTGATCTCTCATAAATAACAAAAATTTTTGTTCGGCACCTCCTTTTTTACAAAAAATGTTGAAGATTTTAGTCATCCCCTATTCGAAAAATAAGCTGATTTTGGATAAAACCGAACATCTTTTTCGTCTTGGGTGAGTGCGGGTATTAATCTTCAATTTATCCAAACCAACACTCACAACCACACCCTTTTCCATGACAACGCCAGACATCACGCTGCAAAGTCGACGAGTGAAAAATTATTGAAGTTCGGATGGGTTACACTTTCACATCCATCTTATTCTTCAGACTTAGCTCTCACGGACTACCATTTGTTCCGTTTTCTTTCCAATCATTTGGGCGAGAAAAAATTCGACGATGAAAACGGCCTCAAAATGCACCTTGTCAACTTCTTCGGGCAGCAGTCCCAGGATTCCTATGAACGCGGGATCCTTTCTCTACCAGAGCGTTGCCGACAAGTCATATATAGTAATGGAGCATACAGGGGTGTGGGTGTGGATGTTGTTTTCTTTTAAGTCACACCCACACCCATATTTCACTCGATGATAATTTTGTTCAACTTGTTTCATAGATTATTTAACAGTTTTCTCTACAAAATAGAATAATTTTATGTTTAGGTATAGCAATGAATATGGTTATTCAAGTCATGTTATTCATTTCATCAAATATATTGCCAATAAAGATCATAAAAAATAAGTTTGAATAGTTCTTCAAAAGATCATAGACATAGATTAATTTTCCTTTTATCGAATTTAACTTCTTCTATTTTCAATCAACTTTTAACATGGCAAAAAACCTTTTTATTCAACACTTTACATGTCTAGTTTGCATTATCATTTTCATTCATATCTTTGAGAAGAGATTAAAGAGTAATACTCTATTTTTCCTTCAAATTTGCATGATTTAATGCAGACAATAATATTTGCTCAGAAAAATCTTTGTAAGATTTTTCAATAGCATTTAGATTGAAACAGAAAAGAGATGCATCTTGAAAACGATTCAAGATCATCGTTCTGCGAATAAATGAATTTTACCAAACATAGATGAGATATAGATGTTATCTGTGAGTAAAGGTGTGCGTAGCATGTAAACTCACAACTACACTCTATTAATGGTGCATTAAAACGTTTTTAACTTGCAGTTAGTATGAATCTCCGTGCACCGAAATTTGACCAACCTGATACTGTAACTAATTATAATTGAGTAGTTTCATGAAAAGTCAACTAGAAAAGCTTAAAATATCTCCAGAAATTTTTCTTTTCTATCAACATTTGTAGAACTTTTTTTGCTGATAATTTTAATAATAAAATTGCCCGGATTTCGTTCAGAAATGATGGTGCTATGATCAAAATATTATAAACATTAAAATAGTTCGAAAGAGATTTTTTTTCTAATTTTACGTGGAGAAGTATTGCATCTTGTATATTGTTTCAGATTTCTTAATATTTTTAAAATTCATCTATTCGAACTGAGAATTGAGTGTGAACATCGGTAACAATCGAGAGAAGTTAGATACTCACAGTCACACGTCCACAACTCACCTCACCACACCGGCATCCCACATTCCAAACCTGCACACCCCAAGCCATACCCGCATCTATGGATATAACAGACCTTGAAAATGCTGTTTATGGTGCGATACAAATATTAATCGACTACATATGATTATTGGTTCAGTAAAATATATTTTTATTATCAATGTCAAATTTCGTATTAGATATATAATATATTATTTCTTTGTATGTGTTTCGTTCGAGTGAATTTTCCTTTTTTTTTCGACTCTTTCGACAAATTATGATAGTCAATGGCTTAAGCGGGCTAAAAGCTCATATAAAGGAGAGAATATGTAATAAAGAGATGGAATAATTGCAATAAAACATGGATAAAAAAAACGAGTTTGTCCATAAACACCAGCAGCTATAATTGCTTGAGCAGTTTTACGTACATCAACTGCTAAAAAATGAATACTTCTGTCAACTATACTAAGTGCAGATTCAGTAGCAATTAATCCAAGAATAGCTACAGTTGCTGTAACACGATTTCGATATGATTCAGACATACGAAGTTCACAAGCAAGATTCAAAAAGAAACCTTGAATAGCATGTTTTGTTGTACCTTATTTAAATAAAACATTTCTTCTTCATGAATATACATATTAAAATAATAACTTACCATATATAATTGTTTGAGGTAATGGACAAGCACCAGCTAATGATGACAATGCAATTATTTGAGATGGTTGTTCATATGTTCCATTTTGAGCTAAATGAGGAAGAGCTGCCATCGCTTTAGAATACAAGAAGTAGAAATTATCATTTCAATTCAATTTTTATTTTCTTACTCGTTTGAAAATATCCAAAAAAATTTACATCAAACAATTTTTTCATATTTTCAATATTTGTTTTAATATCACGTTTAAAAAATGGTTCATAAATTGTTACATTATGATTAAGTACAAGTATATCAATACCTTGATAATATTCAATTGTTTTATTAATTAGTTCAATACATGCAAGTTCACTTGATGCATCAAATTGAATACATTCAACTTGTATTGCACCCAGTGAAAGACATTTTTTAGCAATTTGATTTTTTAATATATCAATACTACGTGCAGCTAATATAAGACGACAATTATAACGTGCATATTCATAAGCTAATTCTTCACCTATACCACGCGATGCTCCAGTTATTATTACACGTTTATTTCTTAATCGATTTTTTTCAATCGGTGGAAAATAGAAATAACTTTTATAAATAAAATAACCAAGTCCATATATGACGACAAAAAGTATGAGCAATATGAGTATACCACTCATGTTACGAGTATATGTTTATCCTCGGTTCAATAATTTTAACTGTATTAGTCATCGTGCCGCCATTTATACTCACTTTTTGTCTTTCTCGTTTTCTTTCTGTCTCTTTACTATATAAGAATATTTAAATGCTACATTAACAATAAAGAGATACAATGAAAAAAAGTTTTTTTTTCTTTTTATATCGCCGTAACTATCCTTCGATATAAAAATATGTTATCAAATAGAGTTCTCCAGATGTCATCTGATTTTGAATGTATACTAGCGACGATTAATCCTTTATCTCCTCAAAACGATTCCGGAAGCGCTACTGATAAAATAACTTTATACATAGCGTACTAGTCTGTCTAATATGCCAATTATGCGCCCTGATCTGCCAAATGTCCATCTCATCGTATAGAGCCACTGGATTGATCTCGTAATCAAGTAATGAAGAAAGAGAATTGAACGCTATACTAAACCTTGATTTTTTTTTCTTTGAGTACATTATTGAATGAACAATAGCAACACCTATCCCATGTTATTGGAGTAATGGAAGAAAAGGAAGAAATGAACCGACTAAAAGTGGTGTTGAAAAAGTATATGTTTTTTTTTTTGAGCTATTTTGTTAAACAAGCATCTACTTTGCTATAAGTCATATTATAACCTCTGAAGATATTTAATTCATAATAAACATTATTTCAACTACTCATGAGTTGAAGTTTATAATATGTATATATATTAACTTTCCTCTTAATTGCCTTCCAGCTATCTAATAGGGGGTTCCATGATTACTTATATTCCATAGCATATGTAAGTCGCTCACTAATCGTGAAGCTTTCGAAATATATCTAACCTAATAGTGGACTCCTGCATCGACTAATATACCACAGAAAATCCGAAAGATCTCTATTGAGTGTAAGTAGAGAACAAATTGTTTCGAAAAATTCGAATTTTTTCATTTGATTTTCAAAATTATCGACTTTGTAGGCCCGATATTTCAAAGGTGGAGTGATGGTAAAAAACACTCGTTTTACCAATGGATAGTCCATAAAGTTTACTACAAGAAATGTTCGTTCCAGTGATCGAGGGAAACTAAAAAGTTAAAATATCAATCAGATACAACTACGTAGGCTAAATTATTCAGTAAGATAATTGATGATAATCACATTTTCGAAAATGTTCAATGTGGGTGTGGGTGGGGTGTGGGTGTGGGTGGGGTGTGGGTGTGAGTGTCTTTTCCTGCACACCCAC